TGCTTAGCATGATTTGCATATCATTTAATTTCAGTCCAAGGTTTTAAATGTTGTTTTGCAAACACAACCATAATTCTAAGTGTTGAAAACTTAAATGATATTTTTAAATGTATTCCGGGCCGGGAACTTCTGTTTTGTAAATGCCCAAGGGGCTTATTATATTATTTTCTGGACTGATTATAAAGTGACTTGAAACAGTGGTAANNAGTGAGCGCCGTCGACGATAAATAAATAGGATGGCTCGGGCTGCACGCCGCAGTGGGTGCTGGAATGTACCATCATATGCATTGCATTGCATTCATAGATTTCTATTTATACTGTTGTTTAGCTGCTCAGTTCCATATATTGGTGTATATTTGGATTTTAGCTTACTTTGTGTATTTACTGGATTTTCTTATCTTCGGACTGTAGTTACTTTTATTACTCACTGGGTCGGAGTACTCACTTTACTCCCTGCACCTTGTGTGCAGATCCAAGGCAGTCTCAGGCTCAGTAGATCCAGTTGATCAGCAGATCCAGCTTCTGGGAGTATCGAGGTAGCTGCACGGCGTTCGCAGCCATTGATCTTCTCCCTCCTATCCTATCTCTTTATTTCCGCATTATCAGACTTTGGATATACCATGTATTAGGATGATATTCTGTATTCTAGAGGCTCAAATTCGTGACACCGGGTCCTAGTGAGATTATATTGTGTATTTTGTTAAATTTTTCGGTACTTTAATCTTGCTTAATTGATATTTCTTTCCGCTATTTTTTATAAATTGGGTTAAGTGTTGAATAATGGTCGGGCTTGCCTAGTAGTGTGTTGGGCGCCATCACGACCGGGATTTGGGTCGTGACAACATCATTCAGTCTTCAATGATGCTAAAGAACAGTGATGTTCTCTTATTTATCGTTTCATAATAACTCAGTTTTATCCCTTCCTGTTGCTTTATTTTGGTTTCTTTTTCCTTGTACTATCTTCCACTAGCATGCATATAGTAATCAATCACAAAACAGTGCCAACAGTGGCAATCAGCAAGAACTATTGGCTGCGGATCATAGGCACTTCATAGTCCTTCCAACACAAGCTTAAATACAAACTGAACTAAATAGTCAAATCAAAATTCAGCCCCTACAAATGGGGACATCGAAGAAAGTAAAGCAATAGGCTTTGTTTAAATTCCATAAATGGAATAAACCATGGTGCAGGATGGAGTATGAAAGTTCCTTGTTTCTATTCCATGAGTCCCTAGTACTGCACAAAAATCAGCTGTTTGTACTTTTGAGCTGTTAGGAACTTGGAATATACTCAACTATAGCTATTAAGTTCCGGGTTGTAAGACTCAATAACTACCAAACCTGAAACAGTTCACCAGTTTGCGATGATGTGGATAATAACCATGAAAAAGAAGAAAGTGCATATCAAGTAGTCTGATAAAATGGATAAAAGCCTTACCATCATTGCTGTTTGTTTGTCCCAGTATAGCCAGAATTTGGGATGCAAAAATTAGGAGGAAGACCTGACTTCTTGAACCCATTTCCATCATAGCAAAACCCCTTGCTTGAAAATCCAAAATCCCAATGCTTTTGTTGGAAAGTCCTATACCTCAATGCAAGCCTTGTAAACAACGCCGTCCTAATATCCAGCAAGTTATCATTGACCTTCCCGCTGCATGGACAAAAGAATGAGTCCAAGAAAATATGTTGAAAACTAAGTCAGGACAAATATAATAATGAGTTTGCAGTATATTACAATGATTCCTCAAGCCAACAATAAGAACAGGCCAACAAGAAGAAGGTTTCTTGGTAAGAATCAAGAACTTTGACCGAGTATCCGAACCCCTTGTCTTTTGCTGATTTCATCATCCTTAAAAACTAATCATAAAGGGGAAGAATTTAAAGAGTGCAAGTAAGAAATATTGTTGTTTAATGTAAGCAAGAAAACAAATCTTTTCTTTATTTTTGCTATACAACGTATGGGAAAGAAGATGATTCATCTGCTGACAAATGAAAAAGAGGACATATTCTTCTATCTAGGATTGAAACTTCTGGGAGATAAAGATGAGAATAGTTGAATAATCAAATATCTAAAGTGACCGCCTGAGGCATTAAAATAATAATGCCACAAGTGGGGTACCCAGGAAGAAGAAGTAGAAGCAGAACAAGAACTGACGCCAAGGCAAAGGTTGACATTCGAAGAAGTCGGAAGTTATTTCATCAGATTTTGTGAAATTACTGAAAATTATGTTTGCCAACTTTGCCATTGTGAAAATATGGACACTTCTCCGTTGACGTTCTTATATATAGATTACAAAACTCATACCCGAAGGTTTAAGGTTAGACTATCCGAATGACAGTGCCTTCAAGGGGTGACTTATTCACCTTTATAGTATGGGCCTAACTCACGTTAAAAAACTTACCAGCATTCAATATTTACACCAATCTATATTAATTTACTATAATTAAATTGTAAATGAGAATATGTATGAATTTAATTATAATTTAGTGCTAAGAGTGTATAGAGTTTGAGATTTGTGCCATGTATTTATTCGGTTGATGTATAAAAATTATCGCACTCAATATTTACACCAAGTCGATAAGCAAAACATATGTATTTCACGGTCACACTTACCAACTTAGGGGTGATCTAATAGGCCTAAGATTGTTTGGTTTGCTCTAAAATTAATTTCAATATAGAATTTCACATATATAATAGGAGTAATATTTTTGGGTTCAACATAAACTTATGCAATACAATTAATATATGCATAACTACTAGTACGGTATATGATTTTAGATATAAATCACTTTATTTAAAGCAACGTTTAATATGTGGTATTAAACTCTAGGTATAAGTCATGTAAGAATTTATGTATTAGGTTATGTGATATAATAATATGTTTGTATTGAACAAAGAAAGGATTGGCCAAAGAAGAGGGAAAAGAAAAAAAAGAAAAACTTGGTCTAATTTTGTAAAATTTATAATGCGTGAATTTTATGATGTAAATAATAATATGTGAATTATTATAAGGTTAATAAAAATAGATGTATATAGGTTGTGACTTGTGACACCAAAATCAAGAATTAACTTAGGGACATTTGCATCTATACCCACTTTTTGAGTCACGTTTTAATTTGTGTCCGCTTTGCAAAATAAAATTGCAAGCGTACCCACTTTTTCGCGTAACTTCAGCATACGGGGCTGAAGTAGCAAAGGAAATCACGCAAAACTTTAGCATTCTAGTAGACGGGTCTGAAGTAGCAAGTGTGCTGAACCAAGTGTGCTGAAGTTTTTGTTCGTAATTGCACTAAATAAGCTGAAGTTTTTTGTGCTATATTCATTGTTTTTGTCATTAAGCTTTTTCAGAAACTTCAGCACAAGATGCTGAAGTTATTTAGTTCATTTATAAAAACTTCAACACTAAATAAGCTAAAGTTTTTTTTCTCCTGGATAAGCTTTTTCAAAAACTTCAGCAGAAGATGTTGAATTTAGTTCATTTGTAAAAACTTCAAAACTAAATAAGCTGAAATTTTTTTGTCCTAAGTGAAATTAGTACTTTTCTTTGGAAGAGGAAATGCTCTCTACAACACCATCACTGATCCCCTCCTCCATTCCTCCCAAACCACCAGATTTAGCACCCATGCCAACTACTGATGAATCAACTTTGATCCCAAACACCATTCCCCATGATTCTAATCCTTCCTTCAAATCGATCCTTCTATCAAACTCCCTTGAACACCCCATCTTCATTCATCTTTCAACCATCCCCAGGGAAATAGAGATGGAAAATAACTCTGAAGCCATGGATCAAGACCAGCAAAACCAGAAATAAGATTTACAAGTAAACCTCTCTTCAGAGGAACTACAACGTATCTATTATCCATGGAGGTATTCCCTCATTGTCAAATTACTTAGCAAACGAGTCCAACACCTCTATCTAAAAAAGAAACTGCAGGATATGTGGAAATCCACAGAATCTTTTCCTCTAATTGATCTAGGTGCAGACTACTATATAGTCAAATTCATCCTAGAAGAAAACATGTTAAGAGCCCTTCAAGGAGGACCTTGGTTCGTTAATGGCTCCTACCTATCTTTACAGAGATGGTCCCCAAACTTTGTTGCCACTGAAGCCAGATCTCACATCACAGCAGTCTGGGTTCGTCTACCTAATCTACCCACGGAGTTCTATGATGGGTTTATCCTTCAGAAGATTGGTAACAAAATTGGAAAACTAGTGAAGATCGATGCCTGTACATCTGCAACTATCAAAGGCAGATATGCTAGATGCCTAGAAATTTTGATGGACTCCCCAGTTAGATCCTACATCTACATTGGTAAGCATATGCAATTAATTCAATATGAATGGAAACACTTTCTATGTAAAAACTGCTGCAGACTTGGTCACACTAAATCCAGTTGTCCATATGCAAAAATCGATTCCAAAATTCCGATATCAATGGAGCAATCCACCATGCAAGCAGACCTACCTCCACCTATGCCAAACGAGATCAAAGAAGAATGGCGCACAATCTCTTTCTCTAGAAGGAAGCCNGATACTAGTAAGTTCTTAAATACCCAAAATCTTAAATATGTTAATAAAGATGTCTCCGAAAAAATTGGCCCCAACAAGCATCATTTTCACTCTCACAAGACTTATCCTAACCTCAAATCCACGAAAATACAAATCAATTTGCAGCCCTGCAAATCCAGCCCACTGATACTGATAAAACCACCTCTAGCATAGGAAAAGTCTCTGAGGATGACCAATGCATGGAGGCTGACTTGGACCCTCTTTCCAACAGTAATTGCCAAGTGGCAGCACCCAATGTTCTCTCATTACCTATCTCACCCTCAAATAAAACACGCTTAAATGATTATACTCCTATTAATCTTACTACTAATTCCCTCACTCAACAGTAGGCTTCTTTTGAAGCCTTCACCACTAACCAGGTGCATGCACTCACAGTGGCCAACCCGACCTCTACTGAGCTTACCTCCTCATACTTGTCCAATCCCTCTGCATATCAAAGCCAAGTGGCAACCTTAAATCTACAAAGATCTATTGATATCTCTCCTAAATATTTTGCTAATCCTTACGCCTCCTCAAACGATATGCATGCCCATAGATGCTATAAGTATACATCTACCTATGCCTACTACTACAAACTCTCCATTATCAACTAAAACTCTTATAAACCAGTATGACAACCATGCCACGAATTCCTCTATCTCTCAGGAGAAGACTAAGGCTCATCCAAATTCTCAACTACCAGCATCAATCAGCCATGAACAACCTTCCTCTTCCAATCCCAAACCCCCCCCCCCC